AAAAAAAAAAGAACGATCTTTCCCACCTAGTTTCTTCAGACTCACATGTTAATATCCTCTGGAAACATTTTATACACATGCCCAGAATAATGTTTATCTGATTTCTAGATATTCCTAAGTGCAGTCAAACTGGTATCCAAAACTATCACAGTTATAGGTATCACCAATTTGTGTAACTATATCCCTAATTGATATAAGATGCTTTTACTTTTTTGTGCTACTATAAATGATAATAGCTAATACCTATTGAATGTTCATCACATGCTATTTTTTTTTTTGCATTTTCTGTGTATTGTTCCTGAGGTAAAGTTATTCTCCCTATTTCAGAAAACTGAGCAAGAATGGGTAAGAAACCTACTCAAGGCTACAAAGCTAGTAGTCAGCAAATGAGTCAGTATGACTCCAAGGACATTTCACTGCACTACTTCTGTAAAAGATAATAATCAACACAATTGCACAAAGATCTTAATGGAGGTATGTTTTATTTCTGTTTGATAGTTTCCTAGAGTGGAATTGCTTTGGAAAATGTTGTATTTTATATTGCTAGATTGTTTTGCAAAAATGCAGTAACCATTTTCATTCCCACCAGCAGTGCAAGAGAGTGTTCTTTCCTCCAGCAGTATTATCATTTGTAAAAATGTATTTTTATTATGCTTTTTGCCAATCTGGTGGCATTCCGTCGTTAAGTCTGTATGCTTTTCCAACAGCAGTAAGGTTGAACATCATATGTTTATTGGCCATTTGGATTTGCTGTACTATAAATTGTTATATTAAAGTTCTCCAGAGAGAGAGAATTTGTAATACAGAAAGATTTATTTTGAGATTTGCTCATATGTTTATGAAAGCTGGCGAGTCCAAAATCTGCAGAGAGACCCAGAGACCAGCCAATGCTGTAGTGCAAGCCTGTGGGCTATTTGCTGCAGTATTTCTTCCTGTTCAGGGGAGATGAGTCATTTCATTTGATCCAGGTCTTCCGTTGACTTTAAAAGCCCCTCAGAGTATGGAGAAAAATCTGCTTTATTTAAAATTCATTGATTTTATCGTTAACCTCATTCAAAAATTTCATTGTCACAGAAACATCTTGAATAATGCTTGACTGATTATCTAGGGATCATGGTCCAGTGAAGTTAACATGTAAAATTAACCACCATATTTGCCTATTAATATATTTTCTAGGCCAGCTTCAGGGCCTGGTGGTTGGAGGAGCCAGATCTCACACTGTCAACTGCACTATTAGAATCCAGCCCCAGTGATTTGAAAAACATGCTTAATGTGTGTATGTGTGCCCCAAATCCTAACAATGTGGAGAAATGGAGAAGGGATTGCAGCATAATTATGTGTGTGTGTATAACCTTTTCCTCAGTTTTCTATTGAACTATTTATATTTTTTTCTTACCACCTTGAACATTATTGATATTAATTCATTAAATATTTTACAAATATTTTCCCAAATCTTTCTTATTTCTTTAATTTTCTTACAGTATTTCTTGTCATAGGAACAGCTTAAATTTTGAAAACTTTATGATCAGTAAGTCACAGAGTCCCTGAAATTTACCTGAAAGTTGTATGGTGGATGTAGACACTGTCATTTTGATAATCACTGTTAAATTTTAGTCTTCTAAGTTTTAGGGAAGTTGTCAATATTTATTTAAAATAAACTTATGTTCTCTACTCTAAACAATTTTTTCAAGGAAATTATAATTAGATCAGCTGTCCTTCTACAAAGACAGAAACCTAGAGCACAAATGGAGACTATTATTAAGAGGCTTTAAAAGTTCATAATCATCCAAATGTAATGTTGGTTATAATACTTGTTAGAAGAACTAGCTGAATGAAATTCAGAATTTATTTATTCCATACCATTATAATGAATCAGTTGGTTTTTAAATGTTTCCTTCAAAATTACTTAAAGCATAATCAAAGCAAATTGTGACAATATTGTTTTCATTCAACTTATTTTTTAGTAAGTGCATATTAGTACTATTTCTATTATTAAAACCAGTGGAAGTTTAGCAGATCAATAACAATTTTTAAGCATCAGAGGCTGATTCAAACCTGAAAAAAAAAGTGTGCTGAGAAAATGCTTTTGTATGTTAAACTTATGCAGCTTTATGTATGTTAAACTTAAAGCTTTATTCCATTCATTTACTTTTATATTATAATTACTAGCATCAATTTAATATATTGCTATAGTATTATCTCATATTTTCATCAAGGAAAAACTCATTTCTCTTTTTATTAAGAAATTAATTAATTTCATTTCTTTATTATTATTATTATTCAATTTGCCCAAAGAGAGACAGAAAGAGAGAAAGAGAGGGAGTGAGAAAGCAAGCCACGAGGTCTAGGACTCGAACCATGTCACTCATGTGGGAGTCCAGCACCTTAGCCACCATGCCACCTGCCAGTCCCCAAAACTGTCATAGCTCTTATAATTTATATAGTCTTTAGTATATGATTAGAGTTATAATTAATTGATATCAGTTTTAAAATTTGAGACTTTGGTTGCTGGGATTTATTTACTCATTTAATAAAGGTCTTTATTTCCCATTTATAAGAACACTCTCTATTCCTAAGTCTGATATCACCTTCTAGGTATTCGTAAGTCCATCAAACTGGTATCCAAAACTATCACAATTATAGGTAACATCAATTTAACTATGTCCTTAGTTGATAGTCAAGATGCTTTTACTGGGACAAGCAGTTAGCATGGTGGCTATGTCGCTGGACTCCCATGTAGTCAACGACGGTTTGCGTCCCAGACCCGGTTTCTTAAACTCACGCCGGGCACATGTGCGTGCGTGCCTGAGATCCCGAGAGCAGAATGGAGGAGAAGGGATTGCGGCATGGCCATCCCCCCTGGGGGGTGATTTCTCGCTTTCTGTCTCTCTGTTTTTCTGGTGAGCGCACACGCCCTATAGCAAAAAAAAAAGAAAAAAAAAGATGCTTTTACTTTTTTTGTGCTACTGTAAACAATAATAGTTAATTCTATTGAGTGCTCATCACATGCTAAGTTTTTTTTTTTCTTTGCACTTTCTGTGTATTGATATTGTGGTAAACTTATTCACTTTACTGAGATGAAGTTATTAGCTCCTGCCAGGCAAGGGACAATTTTTTTAAAACAAGCTCACTTAACAGTCCAACAGGTGGCATGGAGGCCTAAGTTAGCTGAATCCCACACAGCCAACTCTGGTCTGAGTCCCAGAGCCGGTGGCTTGAAAATTATACCTGATAGGAGTGTGTGAGTGCCCAAAATCCCAAGAGAAGAATGGAGAAGGGATTGTGACATTTTTATCCCCTTTGGGAGGTGTGTGTGTGGGGGGGTAATTTCTCACTCTCTTTCTCTCTCCTCTCTCTCTCTCTGTCTCTCTCTAGTGAGTGCATACACCTACCTGGTAGCAAAACACTCAACTTCCAGCCATTTGGATCCAGTTTTTACATTATGTATTTTATAAGTTGACTAGTTGGTTGTTTGATAACATGACTATTTTTGAGATAAGTTGGAGAAAGAGAATCATTTAATATTGAAATAATTTACTGAGAGAACCTGATAAATCTTTTCCTTTGGAAACTTGACAAGATAGTATAGTAGCATCTGTAATGGAAGCCTAGAGAGCCATAGCAATTTTAGCACTCAGTTATCAATATCTATGTTCTTATACCTCCTTTTTTTTTTTTTTTTTGGAGAGCATGAAAGCCCTGTTGAGGTTCTTGATTCCTTTCTCTTAAAATGTAACTAAATAAACTTAAAAAAAAAATCATACAGGATGAATGTAAAAATCTTAACATAGTCATGTGCCTTGGGAGCTTTGATCTGTAAGTAATGATCTGTATCATACATGGCTACAACATATTAAAATATAAATTTTTATAGAAGATATATGGGACCAGCAGTTGGTATAATGGCTACATGGTTGGACTCCCATGTAGTCTATCGCAGTTCAAGTGCCAGATTCCGTGGCTTTAACTCATGCCTGGCGCGTGTACATGCGTGCCCAAGATCCAGAGAGGAGACTGGAGGAGAAGGGATTGCAGCATGGCCATCGCCCCTGGGGAGTGATTTCTTGCTTTCTGTCTCTCTGTCTCTCTCTTTCTGGTGAGCACTTATGCCCAATAGCAAAAATCTCTCCAAAAAAAGAAAAGATATACAGACGTCCCCCATTTCACTAATACAAGGAATTCACTCATCAAAGACTTATTTGTGTCGCAAAAAGTTTTCTAAATGACAAAGGGATAAAATCAATTATCAAATGAAGTCTTGTCTTTAGCTTGTCTAAAAATGTTTAGATTTCTAGAAATGTACTGATTCATAGTGGCAATGAACCTCTCCACATAGTTTCGATTCAGCCTTATGTAGTGTTGGGCTAGACATACCTAAGTCATTTTGGGAACTCAACGCTAGTTGAGTCTTCATATGTGCTGCTTCACTATTCGCCTGATTTAGGAAGAGAAATACCACTTCCCTACCATCAGAAACAAGAATTTCTGAAAATTTACCTTGCTCAAAATTATGTCTTCGAGTTCTGCTTTAATTTATTTTTAAGTATTAGAATGTAAATGAAGTGCTCTAACAAAGTAATGTCACAACAAATCTAATACTGCTACTTGCCAGCGGTACAATCTGTTCCATCAATATTTGTATCTCTTCCCGATGCGTAGCACATAGTTGACAATCTATAAATATTTAACGAATGAATAACTGAGTGGCATCAGGAACAGCCGGCTTGCACTCTGGGATCGAGTCCAAGTCCAGTGTTGCAGGTAAGACTCAGGCCACGAGGAAACTACGGAGAAAGTAAACTCCAACTTTCCCACATAGCTAAACTACAATTCCCAGCATGCAAACTCGGTGTGTACACTGCATCCTGGGAAAGACGTCTTTGGCTCTGAACACGTAGAAGCAGCGCTATAGTTTGCGCACATACGCCGGTTTTGGCTTGCGAAAGCACGGAGATTGCGCAAATCTCGTCTGAGTTTGGCGGAACCCATTTTGAGTACAGCGGTTTTAGCCGGTAGACTATAACAGCAACACCATTTCCGGTATCACCGGAAGTAATTTGAAAATGGCGGCTTCCTCGCTGAACAGGCCGGCTGCCGGGACTGGGAAAAGTGAATTTCGGAATCAGAAGTCAAAGGTAGAGAACCGAGGTGAGGTTGTGTGAAAACTGAAGCTTTGAGGGTGTGAGTTGCGATATTTTTCAGTCATTGGCTGTGGAACCGTAAAGCCTCGTGGAGACTTTTTTGCATAACTGAGGACCTGTTTAATTGCGCATGATTGGGGATATTGACAGCACTTGCAGGAACCCACTGACTGTTTAGAGTGCTGGCCGCTTGTCCCTAACTCGTTGATTTAGCCCGTAGACTCCCAGAGTGAGGCCGTTGCGGAATTCGTCTCCTGTAAAATGAAGAGGATTAAAGCCTTTTTGAGGGTCCCGCGAAAGTCGTTGACGGAGGAATAACAGGTGGGATTAGGCAGTCGTTATGCACAGGAGGGAACTTTGAGTGGAATGAGGCACACGGTAATATCGATAGGGACTATATCCCTGACCTGTTCTTAGCGCTGCTTTGTCACTGAAGACGTTTTGGAACATTTGTCATTATTCCTGTTTGCTAGATTGTTGAAGTACAGACGAACTCTTTATTTCTTAATTACTCTCTCGCATTGTGGTCTGGTTCTACCCATTTTCTTCAGTATGAATGACGGGAGGAGAGGCTAGAAAAATAGCCGGGGAGCTGGTGAAGTCTTACCGTGTTAAAAACCTTGAACTTTCTAGGTGCATTAGTTAGGAAGGTATTAACGGCTTATTGTTCCTTTCTTTTCTTAAAAAAAAAAAAAAAAAAACACAAGACATGTACAGCAAATGATGTAATATTTACATTCCTGGACTTAGCGGGGTGGGTGGGGGGAGGGGTGTTGAGGGACCGTCAACAAGTTCTTGGAAAGATGGAAGATACAAAAAAAATTTAAACCACGCATAGTTCTTCATAGTTCGCGTTTTTCATAGTTTTTTGAAGACCAAAGCCAACAGGAGAGGAACTAGTTCTCAGACTTACGTACTATAGAGTTTTAAGTACTCTTCAAGTCTCCTTTGCCTGCACTTCCCACATCGTTTTTTTCTTTTTTGGTACCTGAAATAAGCCATTGGTAATCGTGGTATGTTTTCTTTCTTCACAGTCTCTACTACCTATTCACAAAATGCCTTTTTTCCTTTTCTCTTTACTTTCTTCGTGGATTATGGATTTTATCCGAGTGAAAACACACTATGCATTCTTCCGTGTCTTACATTTTAGGCTTAGGTTTGTTTTTGTTACTCAACCTTTATGATAATTGTGGTGGTAGGTTTATTTTCAGTACTGTATGGTATTCCTTTGTGTAATATACTCCTGATTTATTTTTTCTTCCTGTTGGTGAATATTTTTAACTTCTTATGGCCTCCTGTGATAAACAGTACTGTCATACACATCTCTGTACGTGTCTCCCTGTTAACATTAAAAAGTTTCTGTAGGTTATGGACACAGAATTGGAATTACTAAAGTGTAGGGTGTGTATAATATGCTCATTCATCTCCAAAGGGATTGCCAATTTTGACTCCTCCTAGCAGTGGATAAAAGATTTCATGCTCTGTATCCACACTAATACTTGGCATATCTGAATCTTGAATTTCTATCATTTCTATAGGTATGAAGTAGTATCTGGTTGGGGTTTTAAGTTGTACTTTTCTGATTACTAATTAACTTACATGTCACTTTACATGTTTTAGAGCTATTTATGCACTCTTTGTTGTGAATGCCTGGTTATTTCTTTACCACTTTTATTCGTTTTGTTTTTGTTTCTGTTTTTTGTTTGTTTGTTTTTTTTCACCCTGGGTTTGGAGTGAGTGGGTTTTTTTCTTACTGGTTTACAGCCATCAAAATGTTTTAAGCTGAGTAGGAACTTGGTTAGATAATGCATTTTAAGTAACCACTGTTGTAGAATTTGAAGTTTTTGTTTGTTTTAGGATATTAGAGAGTGGTATATGAAAAATTGCTAATTTTCTGTGGTTCCAAACAAAAATAGAACGGGGATGTGAGAAGAAACAGAAAACAAGCTTACCTGACTAAGGTTGATAACACAGGCTAAAGGTCTGCTCTTCAAACTGTAATATACTTAAAAATCTGACGTGATTGGTAAAATACAGATTTCTAGCCCTGGTCTCAGTTTCCGATTCACTAGGTCTGGGATGAGTCCCAAGAATTGTGTTTCTGAGAAACTCCCCAGTTTTTTATGGATGCTGTGGTATATCACATCTTTGAGTAGAATTAGAGTATAGCTAGTGTAGATATAAGGAGGAGGGTCCCTGCCCTTGGAGAACTTTACCTTATGAAGCAACTGAAACATATATGTTTAATATTATTTTATTTATTTGAATTAATTGGATTTTTAAGTTTATTTCTTTTTTATGAGAAAGACAGGTTCTTCGTGTCATGATTCCCGCTCCCAGTCTCACCTAGTCTGGATCATGGGTACATATGTGTATTTACACCTACTTGGCATTCTCAGGGAAGACTCTCTACGTGAACCCAGGACTTTACCCACGTAGATCCAGTGGACCACATGGGTCCAGTGGTGTCACTGGTGTGCCTCTGTCACCCCACCACCTGGCCCCAGATTATTTTTGTATGCTATGTTAATGATCATGATAGAGGTATATTCTTGGACTGTTGAATAACATAAAAAGCAAGGGACGAGGTAATTGAAGAGTATTGAGAAGCTTGTGAATGTATGCATATAGTGTTCACAGTTAAGATATTTTAATAAATATTTTCTTTTTGTAGATGAATCAGAGCTACTTACTGTTCCTGATGGTTGGAAGGAACCAGCCTTTTCCAAAGAAGACAATCCCAGAGGACTCTTGGAGGAGAGCAGTTTTGCAACCTTGTTTACACAGTATCGAGAGGCTTACTCTTGAAATAGTGTTGGCCTTTGGTGCAGAAAGCATTGAATGAACATGTATGTATATATTATACATTTCTTTGAGATTTTGCTCTCCCTTATTGTGTCTTTTAAGTAAACATCTTTTATGTGTGATGATAACTTTTTTTTCCTCTAAAGGTACTAGCATAGCTGATGAATTTGGTTCCTTTTTTGTTTTTGTTTTTGTTTTCTTTTTTTTTTTTAGGTTTTTGCCATTGGGCGTATGGGCTTGCAGGATAGAGACAGAGACAGAGAGAGGGAAAGTGAGAAATCACCCCCGCCCAGGAGGGATGGTCATGCTACAGCCTCTTTGCCTCTTGGATTTGGGGCACATATGTACACTTCACTGGTGTGATTTTCAAGCTGCTGGGTCTGGGGTGTTAAACTGTGGTCGACTGTATGGGAATTCAGCACTTTAACCACCATGCTGCCCGCTGGCCCTTCCTTTGGTATTTTAAACAGTCTAAGTAAGCTTCTTTTTATAGTTCTTTTTTTTCCAGTTTTATGAATAATTGATTACTTTGAAAATGGTTTCACAGACTGTCTGAAACTCACCAGTTACATCCAAATTTCAGTCTAGGCCATGATTGCTGTGTACCTGTTCAGTTTGAGCTGAGTAACTTTCTTTACTAATTGCATAAGTTTTCATTTTAAATGGAAAATGGGAATGTGACCAACTCTCCCTGGTTTGTTGTTGCTGCCAGTCCCTAGAGAAGTGCATTTAGTTTTGTTTTTTAAAATGAAAAACCCTATTAGTAGATTGAGAAGTCAATTTAGTGACTGTAATAAGCCTTAAATAATGAATGTGTCATATGTGGTAAGAATAAATACTGTGTTATAAAGCTTTTGGTTGAACTGTGCATGTATGTGGGCATACTGAGTTGCAATATAAATTGTATTTCTTACTACTCTGGAGTTGATCTATGTCCATTGGAGATGAAAGTGGAGCAAAAGCTGCAGGCTATATTTTGTAAGTGTCCAACTCTGGGATTAAACTCATTCTTTTTTCTCATAAACCCAATGTTTTGTCGAATTTTTTTTACCACTTACTTTGTTGAATATTCTTTAGATTATGTTGATAAGTCAAAAACTAGCATTTAAAAAAATTTGCTACAGAGCACATGCACTCATGAGAGAGAGAGAGAGAGAGAGAGGACACCCTCCCCTAACCCCCCTCAAGATATCCACGCCATAGTCCCTTCTCAGTTCTCTCTGGATTTTAGATACACATGCACGTGTGTGTGGCATGTTTCTTAAGAAGCACGGTTTGGGACTCGAATTGTGCAGTCAGCCATGTGGGATCCATCTTAACAACCATGCCACCATCTGACCCTAGAAAATATAATTTTTATTTTCTTTGTTGAAATCTGGTTCTTCCTATGGAGAGTTAATGCTTAATTTTCCTAATCATTGTTTTTTTCTAAACCTGTGATAATTTGTTTTTACTTCGCATTTAGTGTTGTAGACAGAAGAAAATTTGAAAGAGAAAATCAGTTCTTATTCTGTGGAGAGAGTATAGATTAGAGCTGGGTTCAGGATAGGAAAGCTATACAGCTTTTCATATATATCTTAGCTCTCAGATATGGCCATGGCCTCATTTGGATTTCTTTCCTTTTTTTTTGGAGAAGTTTTTGCTTTAGGGTGTGTGCACTCACCAGAAAGACAGAGACAGACAGAAAGAGAGAAATCACTCCCCGGGGGGATGGCCATGACGCAATCCCTTCTCCTCCATTCTCCTCTAGGGAATCTTGGGCATTCACACACGCACGCACGCCTGGCGTGAGTTTAAGCCACTGAGTCCGGGACTCAAACCGCAGTCGACTACATGGGAGTTCATTACGCTAACTGCTGGTCCCCTGGATTTCTGTAATTTAAAATAGAGACAGTCTTTAGTCTAAAAAGTGTGAAGTATCCTAAAACCAAGCATGAATGGTTTCAGTTGTTGCAGTTTCTTAAATTCTCCAAAGCAGGAGAGTAATCAAGTATTCACTGTTTACATTTAACTACCCATCTTCTTTGGGGGTGGTGGTGATAGAATTAAAGACATAGCTTACTGTCACATAAAATAATAGTCTGGTTAGAGCAGGCTCTATAATGATCTAAAACTGAACTTATGCTCAGAAAACTGCTTTTTGCTCTTTCTTTTTTTGGTAGCACGTTAAAGCAACCTTGGACCTGATCGAGGGCAGCATGACTGTTTGTACTACGAAGAAGACTTTTGATCCGTACATCATCATTAGGGCCAGAGACTTAATAAAACTGTTAGCAAGGAGTGTTTCATTTGAGCAGGTAAAGCTATAATTAGACACTTCGATTTGTTGGCATCAGCAGTAGACAGCTTACAGTGCTGCACCTTCCTCTCTTCCTTCTCCTGTTGAGTTTTCATGTTTGTGCTTGGTTGTCATTAGCAAGGGCTTGGAAAATAAATTTTAAGTGTGAGGAATATTAATGGGTTATTTTTATATTTTCAAAAGGCAGTACGAATTCTTCAGGATGACATTGCATGTGACATCATCAAAATAGGTTCTTTGGTAAGAAATAAAGAACGATTTGTAAAAAGAAGACAACGGCTTATTGGTCCCAAAGGATCTACATTGAAGGTAGTTTATACTAGTGGAAAACTTGAATATGTATCTCTATCATTAAATTTTCAGTGTACCAAATTTCAACTTACTGTTCTTTTGGTGTAGGCATTGGAACTCTTAACAAACTGTTACATTATGGTTCAAGGAAACACAGTTTCAGCCATCGGACCTTTTAATGGATTAAAGGAGGTAAGAACTACTTATTCAATGAATTTTCATAAGAAAACAAGTGAAATAATTTGGTTATTATAGTTAATTAGATAATGTATATTACTGTTTTATAGACACTTTATAATTTTAAGAATGTGCTTTGTGTCACTTGCCATTAGTAAATACATCATGTAATTTGAGGGCATCATCACTCCTGCACCCTCACATATTAAGGTAACTTTGGTGGCTACAGAGGCATCCATTTCTGAATTAGAAGTTATACGCATCATCATTCCTTCCACTACAAAATTTAAGGGGACCAGCAGTTAGTGTAATGACTATGTCACTGGACTCCCACGTAGTTGACCGCGGTTCGTGTCCTGGACCTGCTGGCTTAAAACTCATGCCGGGCGCGTGTGCGTGTGCGCCCAGCATCCTGAGAGGAGAATGGAGGAGAAGGGATTGTGGCGTGGCCATCCCCCCGGGGGGTGATTTCTCACTTTCTGTCTCTCTGTTTCTCTCTATCTTTCTGGCGAGCGCACACACCCTATAGCAAAAACCTCTCCAAAAAAAAAATTTAAGTGGGCATTTAAAAATCCTAACCTGGGGACCTACAGATGGCATAATGGTTACGTCACTTGCCTTCCACATGGTGCACTGTGGTTCTATTCCTGCACCTGGTGACTTAAAACTCATGTTGGGCGTGTGTGTTGCATGCCCAAGATCCAGAAAGGAGAATGGAGGAGAAGGGATTGCGGTGTGGCCATCCCTCCTGGGGGGGGCGATTTCTCGCTTTCTTTTTCTATGTCTCTGTCTTCCCAGCAAATGCACATGCCTTATAGCAAAAATATCTCTTAAAAAAAAAAAAAGTCCTAATTTGTACTACATATGGAAACGGTATTATTACATATTAAACATATTACATGTTCTCAAATGATTGGAAAATTATTACTTGCAGTAATTTATGCAGTAAGGCCAAGATCTAAAAACATTTCTCCTTCAAGATACAGTTTTCTTTTGTTTCAAATTTAACATCATTTACTTAATGTTTTCATTAGCATGTTCTTCAGCTTGCTAAATTAAATGTTGTGAGACTATCTGTGGAGCAAATGCTGTTTTCTCTCTCTCTTTTTAATTGGCAGAGGGCATGTGCATTTGCCAGAGAGAAAACTACTATTGGGGCATGGTTACATTTTAATTTTTTTCCCTCCATTTTGCTGTTCCTTTAGGATTTGGGACAGGCATGCACATATGCCTGATTTTGTTTGTTTTAAGATTTTTGCCATAGGGTACATGCACTCACTGGAGAGAGACACAGAGACAGGGAAAGTGAGAAATCACCCCCCCAGGGGGGATGGCCACGCCACAATCACTTCTCCTTCATTCTCCTCTCGGGATCTTGGGCAGGCACGCACATGCCTGGCATGAGTTTAAGCCACCGGGTCCAAGGCTCGAACCGTGGTTGACTACATGGGAGTTCAGCAACATAGTCATTGCACTAACTGCTGGTCCCGAACCTACATTTCTGACTGTAAAGCCAGCCCTCTTCTCCCTAAATCACGTAGTTCCAGAGTGTTTTATTAGTTGTATGTACTGTATTATAGCAATAATTGAGAAACTTCACTGTATCTTTGGGAAGATACTATTAGGAAAGATGTAGAAGCAAGAACATTTAGAGGCACTACTATATTCAAATAGTCATAGGATATTTTACAGTATATTAATTTTCTGCTACCTAGTTTGTTAAAATCTTTATAAATGACTAACTTATTTTTCTTTGTAAATTTCAGGTTCGAAAAGTAGTCCTAGATACTATGAAGAATATTCATCCAATTTATAACATTAAAGTGAGTGTTAATTATATATTATTAGACCAGTAATTGTTGACTCTCAGCTACACAAGCCTTGCTTGAAATCATTTTGAAAGTCTAATTTGTAAAACAGACAAAGCAGAGCTATTTTGAGTGGTAAACGGTAGAACTCACCTCCCTCAGCTCTATCCCAGTCTTGAAGTTACTTCATTAGAAGCTTAGATCTCCTAGGAGCACTGTGAGAAAACTATTGAAGGGACTCCTGTAATGTATTAGATAATTCTAATACTGTAAGCGTCACAGAATTTGTTGTAGATAATATCAACCTTATTTTCTTAGATTGTGATCTCATATATTATATTTAAAAGTGCGATCTTTAGAAATCTCCCTTTTTCTAGTAAATTAAATCTGGAATATCAAATCATATTAAAACCTTTTCTTGGAATTTAACACTTAAATTGTAGCCCTTTTAAGAGAGAGTTGTTATACCCATATGTGAACAAATTTTAGAATTATACTTGCAAGTGAAACCTAAGAATAATGAACTATTTTATGATGGTTATTTGTTTAGCAGTCTGCTAAATTGTTTGAAGTTAAAAAGTGTCTTGCATTAAGGTGAAAGTGACTGAGTTACCTGGGGGCTTTAAAGATAAAAAGCTAGTCCTGCTGCTTATTCCTGGTTTGAATCCTCTAATGTTCTGATGTCTGTAAAACCCAAATGGAATGGGGGAAATATGAGATTAGTTTTTGCTTAGTCATGAGAATGGAGGAAAAGGGATTGTGGCTTGGCCATCCTCCCTGGGGGGTGATTTCTTGCTCTGTCTCTCTTTCTCCAGTGAGTACACGCACCCTATAGCAAAAATTTCTAAAAAAGGACCAATGGATGTCATAACGGTTATGTTGCTAGACTCCCATGTAGTTGACCACAGTTCGAATCCCAGATGAGCAGTTTGAAACTCTTGCTAGGCGTGTATGTCTGTTCCCAAAATCCTGAGAGGAGAATGGATTGCAGTGTGGTCATTTCCTCTAGGGGATGATTTTTTGTTTTCTGTGTCTCTAGTGAGTACATGCACCCTATAGCAAAAGTCTCTTTCTCAAAAAAAAAAAAAAAAAAGTTGGGAACCAGCAGTTAGCGTAATGGCTATGTCGCTGGACTCCCACGTAGTTGACCGTGGTTCGTGTCCCGGACCCGGTGGCTTAAAAAAACTCACGCCGGGCGCGTGTGCGTGCGTGCCAAAGATCCCGAGAGGAGAATGGAGGAGAAGGGATTGCGGTGTGACCATCCCCCCTGGGGGGTGATTTCTCGCTTTCTGTCTCTATGTCTCTCTCTGTCTGGCGAGCGCACGCGCCCTATAGTGAAACTCTCTACAAAAAAAAAAAATGTTCAGCGTGTCTTAATCTAAATTTCTAATGGTTTCTAATGCTTGGTTATACGTGTTTGATATCATATGTCTTTGTTTATGCAGTTGATTTAATTCCACTGAAGAGATTAAGAGCTGTCCCTTACTTTTTGCTTATGGAAGCGATATTTTTAATGTCTTAGTTTGACAAATGTATGACTTGAAATTAAAATTGATTGCCTTGTTTATGTTGTACGACAAAAGACCTTAATGATTAAACGAGAGTTGGCAAAAGATTCTGAATTACGATCACAAAGTTGGGAAAGATTTTTGCCACATTTCAAACATAAAAATGTGAATAAACGCAAGGAACCAAAGAAAAAAACTGTGAAGAAAGAGTATACGCCATTCCCACCACCACAGCCAGAAAGTCAGGTTAGTATTTTATGTTGAATTTTGGTGAGAAGGAAACTGTTTTAATCTTTTTTGTTAGAAACTGTATTGATATTTTAGGGTGTGTGTATGTATAGCGATACAAGAAACTGAAGGTGAGTGTAAACAGGCTTATTTTGATATAATTGCGAGGGCTGGAGAGTGGCTGTTGTGAGTATATTCTGCATCAAGATGGTTGGTGTCAGTGTGCCCCTGCAGCTACTGTAAATGAATTTTAAAAACCCAACTGAGCCCACATTACTATGCTTTGCAACATTTTTATGACCATGTTCTATATGACTACTTTAGTCCTGAAATCTCACATTCTAATGTCCATCTTTTTTCTAAGTTGTGCATCCCTTCATTTTGTCAGCTGTCTTCTGTTTCAATTCCTTTCCCACCATGACCACAATTTTCTTTTCTCTTGCCTATCACTATTTTCTTTCACGTCCCTTTTTCCTTCCATCTCACCGTCCCAGCAGAACTCTAAAACTTGTATCAGTCCAGAAACATCTTTCCAAATGTGGTTGCCAGACTAAGATGGGGAAAGTTCCATCTTTGAATTATATCCACTGAAAATTCATATTTCCAACCTCTTTAGAATTTTTTGGCACTGGGGACCAGCAGTTGGTGTAATAGCTATGTTGCTGGACTCCCATGTAGTCAACTGTGATTCAAGTCCTGGACCCAGTGGCTTAAACTTACACCAAGCGCATGTGCGCCTAAGATCCCGAGAGGAGATTGGAGGAGAAGAGATTGCAGCATGGCCATCCCCGCTAGGGGGTGATTTCTTGCTTTCTGTCTCTCTATCTCTGTCTTTCTGGCGAGTGCATGCGCCCTATAGCAAAAAACTCAAAACAAAACAAAACAATTTTCTGGCACTTCTGTGTGTCTTCTTAATTCTCTCTCTACTCTCCTAGCACATAACATTGCATCTTACTTTACTGAAATATTTGAGACCATTAAATAAGATCTTCAGCTTTCTCTTCTCTCACCTATAGATTTTTTTCCATCTTTATTATACCCTTTGTACTTGTTCTTGGAATTCTGTCTTCACATTGAATACATTTACTGTATATTGAACAAACAACCCGTTTTCTCTAATTAGTATTAGTCAATAAATCCTGGCAATTCTTGTTTTCCATTCTGTATGCTACTGCCTTTATTCCGGGTACTTAACTCTTCTCTTTTCTTCTGTATCTTATTAAAATGCTGCTTTGGTCTCTTCACTCTTCCCAGAAACCTTCAGGCATTTATGAAACAAATTCTACCTCCTTTGCCAGGCATTCAGACTTCTGCAAACTTCTCCAAAACTGTCTTAGCAGTTTCCACTCAAGTCCTTCTGAAACATTGACCTACCCCCCACCCCCCATCCACTCCACACTGGTCTGTTTTGTATCTAACAAACCTACTGCCCTACCTCCAGGCTTTTGGGCATGCATTCCTTTCAACTTAGAGTACGTGTCCTCCTTTTAATGTTGCTCTTTTAAGAATTAGAGAATAATCAATTTGACCCCACGTTTTTTACCCAAGGACATTGGAATGTTCTTAGGAAATGACTTCTTATCCGTATTATTTCTGATGTAATTGTATACGTCTTTTCAACAGATTGATAAAGAATTGGCTAGTGGTGAATACTTTTTGAAAGCTAGTCAGAAGAAACGACAGAAGATGGAAGCAATAAAGGTAAGACTACTGGTGTCTGGCATACAGTATTAATAGCAAAGTTCATAGATGTTATTTATAGTTAAATAAAAACTCAATTATTTTACTAATATACTTTTTCTTAATAACATAGGCTAAACAAGCAGAAGCTCTCAGTAAGAGACAAGAGGAAAGAAACAAAGCTTTTATTCCACCTAAAGAAAAATCAGTAGTGAAACCTAAGGAAGGTAATGCTTGTTTTTCAACTCTTAATGAGATGTAAAAGTCTAAGTCTATGGAAAGGAAACCCATAGTGAATTTATCCGAATTTCTCTGTTAAGTACAGACATAACCATATTTTTATCAATTCTATTAGCATTTCATTAATAACTAATTCTTAGGACAAGAGACAGTTGAAGACATTTATAATTTAGTAGCAGCCAGTGCCTATTTCAAGGTATCCTAGATTGACCATCTTACCTGACCACTCCATGCTTGGGAATGACTTTGTTGTGACAGACAGAATCCCAGAGCAGTCAGTGCCTCCTCTGTAAGAATGAAGTAATGGAACAGGAAGATGCCTGAGCTTTGTTTTCATGCCCTTCACAGAATGCTTGTTAGAAGCTGTCCTTTTCTTCTCTGCAGGATCTATGGCTTAAAGTTTGCTTTCTGTATCATCAACATATTTCTCATCATCTTGAACTAAAAGATTTGACAAAATAGTGACAGGAAGATTTTATTCATGAGCAAAATCTAAGAGAAAACAGTTTGTCCCTTCTTCATGTCTAGCTTCCTTCTGATCTTCTTATTTTGCATTTTTCACCACTCCTTTGGTAACACTTGTTTACTTTCTAAAGTAACCCTTCAAAGTGGACAGTGGTACATTGAGGGGAGAGGCATTGCCAGCAACAAACAGTGTATCATCTAATGGTCAAAAAAAGATAAGACACATTACTATTGTAGCTTCCTAGTGTGCTTCAGTGTTAATAGCTTTAAAAATATTGTATTCTGTTTGATCATAGCTTATGTAAAAGTTAAAACTGTGATAAGCATTAAAATTTCCAATAGTATGGAAAATTGGCATACTAGGGAATATTCTTTTTTATCGTTTTTTAAAAGAGAATTATTTATTGGGACCAGCAGTTAGTGTAATGGCTATGTCACATAGTCTACCGTGGTTCACGTCCCAGACCTGGTGGCTTCAAACTCACTCTGGGTGTGTGTGCATGCGTGCCAAGCTCTCGAGAGGAGAATAGAGGAGAAGGGATTGTGGCATGGCCATCCCCCCCCGGGGGGGGATGGCCATGCCACAATCCCTTCTCCTCTATTCTCCTCTCGAGAGCTTGGCACGCATGCACACACACCCAGAGTGAGTTTGAAGCCACCAGGTCTGGGATTCAAACTATGGTCAGACATGTGGGACCACATTACCTGCTGACCCCATTAGGGAATATGCTAAAGTTCCAAAATATGTAAAAGAATATAAGTAGAAATAATGTCAACAAGACTTAAGGAGAAAAATACACCTTTAGTATTGTTGTTGAATCAGTAATTGGTTCAGAGATTACTAAACTGTCATGACACTTGCATATATGATTTCACTAATGTATACATAAAGGATTTTATTCTATGATTCGTTTTTCTCTTTGAGGGAATTTTTAACTTTTGGGAAGTTTTTATCTTGTATAACGTGACTTTTCATTTATAATACTACTCTGAAATTATTGTCTTTAACCAAAGAAAACATAAAGAATGTGTTTAATCTAAAGAATTACATGTGTTATGTTTTAAATTTGTCTAGCTTCTACTGATACTAAAATTGATGTGGCTGCCATCAAAGAGAAAGTTAAGAAAGCAAAAAATAAGAAACTGGGAGCTCTTACAACTGAAGAAGTTAAGCTTAAGATGGAAGCAGATGAAAAGAAAAAGAAGAAAAAAAAGTAATATACAAAACCCTCTAAATTAGAATATATGAAGCTATCTCCTTTTGTAAAGGATTTTGAGACATCAGGGCATTAATTGCCTTCCTTACTCATGAGTAATAATACTCTTTATTACTTTCTTCTGTTTTTTTTTTTGTTGTTGTTGTTGTTCATAGAGCAGTGTTCTTTATAAATTATTGTATTTTATTTTTTTTGAAAAAAAAATACAAATTTGTACACAGAAATCTCTGTGTACAAATTACACCTTGTGTACATTAATTACAGCTAATCGGTTCTAGATAGATTTTTGCCCTAGCATGAATTTAGGAGTGATTTTTTAGATTTTTTTATATGTAGATTTTTACAGTGTGACTGTTACCTGTTAAATCCAATGTCTGATGCCATTTATTAGTCTTTAAATATGTTTTAGCATTTGGTTTTGAGGAAAATAAATGCATATTTTTCAGTGTTCTCTCTTTCTCGGTGATAATAAGTAAATTAGACTTACCTCTATAATTTTGTTCTAAGATTAAACAATACATAAGTAGAAAATCATGAAACCTCATCCCTTAGTTACTGTTCTAGTCTGGAGTTTGGAGAAGATGATACAGGAGAGACATCAAGTTGGGAGAAAAGCAGGGCAAATGAGGAGTGGTGATGATGTTTGCAACTAATGAGGGCTACTGGAGTTAACTTTGAATCACCTAAATCTAGCTCACTTAATTTATAGATTTGGAAACTGAAACACAGGAGCTAGGTTACTTACTGAAAGTCCAGCCATGGCAACTGAAAACATTGCTTACTCATAGAAAAGTGGAAACTAAAGATGAGTTTATCCAATGGAGTTAGGAAGGTGAGTAGTTTCTTTTGAGTAAGGGTTGACTACAACAACTTTTTTTCACACCTGAAATTGGTTTTAAAAATTATAAATATATTTAATTGTTACTTTATTTTTTTATAAAAGCCATATACAAAAGAATTTTTTTCTCTTCTAGGTTTTATTCATCTAAAAGAGCTAAATTAGGGTATTTACACTTCACCAAAATGGTAATTATAACAGATAATAACAGAATTATAGACCTAGCAATGAGAAAGAGAGATGTATATCTGTTCCGTGAATATATGGGCCAGCCTGGATACCCAACAGAGTAGTAACCTGTGAAAGAAAGAAAATATCCTCTTAGACTTTGTTTCTCTAAATGCAGTGACATAATTTACACAGCCCTTAATGAAACCATGTGAGATTTATACATACGTGTGACTTTGTCTCTCTGTGGGTTAACTGTAAAGTGAGAAGAAAGAAAAAAATTAAAAGGGTAGGGTTACTTTTGGCTTTGTTTTATTTTAAAAAGCTAAGTTTTTTATTTTAAATTTTTAAATGTTGACTGTTGCTTTGGTTTTATTGCAGTAATTTTTAAAGATTACTCAGTTTTTCCTGTATTCTGTGTTGTTAAATTAACTTTTTCTTTTTGTAGAGGTTTTTGCTACAGGGCCTGTGCGCTCGCCAGACAGACAGAGAGAGACAGAGAGAGAGAAAGCGAGAAATCACCCACCGGGGGGCTGGCCACACCGCAATCCCTTCTCCTCCATTCTCCTCTCGGGATCTTGGGCACGCACGCACACATGCCCGGTGTGAGTTTAAGCCACTGGGTCCGGGACTCATACCGCGATCGACTACGTGGGAGTCCAGCAACATAGGCATTACGCTAACTGCTGGTCCCGTTAAATTAACTTTTAATATAAACAAAATCATGCTAGAGGTATCATATTAAATGCAATAAAAATTAAATTTAAATTATGACATTAAAATTTAATAAAAATGAAGAATTTGATGTTAGAAATAATCAGTGTGTGCAGTGTATTAAAATACTGTTTGGAAAATAAGTTTTCCCCAGAGAAGAATGACACTGGTTATTTTAAGTCAGTTGTAAAGAGACAGTGGCCCCTCATCATTTCAGAATGTCATTAAATCATCAGAGAGCATTTGGCTATCAAATTATTCCTCCCGTTTCACTAAATTTTATTCAGGTTTTGATATTCAGAGCACTGGGAAGAAATAAATTCCAACAGTCACCTTTAGCCTTCTTGTTTTCTTTTATTAGATAGATAATCTTTTCCACACCAGTTCTACACCAGTTGCTTCTAGATGTCTGGGGTGGACCCCATCAAGGAGCTGACCCTCTAGGCAGACATGAGGGCATTATTCCTGGGATTCGGCACTGGCTGTTTAATTACCTTGGTGCTTTCACCCTGCTGTTTCTTGGCAATTATATCCATGAAATCAAGGGTCTCATGTTCTTATTTTTTTTCCTGTATATATTTTAAATGTTAAATATTCAACTCTTGAAACCCACATGCATTCATGCTCTAGCTAAAGTAATCTTAAATACATCTAGTATGCTCAGCACATTTTACAAAGAGTCCTGATTTAGCTGTGAGTTAAAGCCACTGGGTCCGGGACTCATACCGCGATCGACTACGTGGGAGTCCAGCAACATAGGCATTACGCTAACTGCTGGTCCCGTTAAATTAACTTTTAATATAAACAAAATCATGCTAGAGGTATCATATTAAATGCAATAAAAATTAAATTTAAATTATGACATTAAAATTTAATAAAAATGAAGAATTTGATGTTAGAAATAATCAGTGTGTGCAGTGTATTAAAATACTGTTTGGAAAATAAGTTTTCCCCAGAGAAGAATGACACTGGTTATTTTAAGTCAGTTGTAAAGAGACAGTGGCCCCTCATCATTTCAGAATGTCATTAAATCATCAGAGAGCATTTGGCTATCAAATTATTCCTCCCGTTTCACTAAATTTTATTCAGGTTTTGATATTCAGAGCACTGGGAAGAAATAAATTCCAACAGTCACCTTTAGCCTTCTTGTTTTCTTTTATTAGATAGATAATCTTTTCCACACCAGTTCTACACCAGTTGCTTCTAGATGTCTGGGGTGGACCCCATCAAGGAGCTGACCCTCTAGGCAGACATGAGGGCATTATTCCTGGGATTCGGCACTGGCTGTTTAATTACCTTGGTGCTTTCACCCTGCTGTTTCTTGGCAATTATATCCATGAAATCAAGGGTCTCATGTTCTTATTTTTTTTCCTGTATATATTTTAAATGTTAAATATTCAACTCTTGAAACCCACATGCATTCATGCTCTAGCTAAAGTAATCTTAAATACATCTAGTATGCTCAGCACATTTTACAAAGAGTCCTGATTTGACCTCCATTTATTCAACTACCACCGCTATCTAGAAGACATGAAGGAATTTTTTTCCTGTAGTACTTACCATAATTTGTCACAGATGGACTTTATTAACTGAAAACTTATACTCTAACCTTTACCTTCATCAGATTTACTGATAAAAGGTGAGATGGTTATTCTTTTTTTTCACCACGGATCTTATAATTAATTCAGTATTACTGCAGAAAATAGAGTGATTTCAAATGAGCCTATGTTCATATGAAAACAAACTATGTAATCTAGGAAAAAGGAAATTAGTGACCAGATCATTGTAGAGAGTGTTGAAGTGATCTAAACAAATAGGTGATGTGTTTCATAACATTTTACTAATACCATCAGCTACAGTATGTTTTCCCTTTACCTCAAAACAGGGGGTTTCATTATTGGAATGTAGCATTTTGTTTTCTACTGGTTTGCTACAGGGTGAATGTGCTCACCAGAGAGAGAGAAAGTGAGAATGCACAGGTTTGCACACACACCCTGGAGGCAACTGCAGTGCAATCCCTTCCCCATTCTCCTATCTTGAGAAGAGATTAGTTACATTGTGGCTACATGTTACTTGCTTCTCATAATAAGATCACTGTGAGTGAAATAAAGATAGAACTGGGGAGGAGAATGACTAGCTCAGGAAGCCAGCCTAAAAGGTGCAACTATACCTATACTATGGTCTAAAAGTGCAAGAATAAAGTTATAATCTTGTTTTCACAAATGAAAGGGAAAGGAACAGTTTAGTAGAATTTCATAACTTGGCCTGGAAAGAATTTTAGAAAACTGTAGGCAATAGAACACTTTTTTCCAGACAAAATTTTGTGCAGTGAAATTATAGTCCACTCTATCTTCCTTCGCTTTACTCAAAGCATTCTACCCCAGGCCTCCTGCTCTGTGGAGCTCAGTTTGTTACAGATGTGGACAAAACTACGGAAGAATTTATACAACTTAAATAGCTTAATTAAGATTTCTCTCCACACCATGGGGGGAAAAAATGAAAAAACATACTGAGATGGAAAGGCACATATGTGTCTCGGACAGGAACCAAAGATAAACTTGGCCAATTACTCATATTTCAAAATTACAAAGTGGGAGACTAGCAGTTAGTGTAATGGCTATGTCACTGGACTCCCATGTAGTAGACCGTGGTTCAAGTCCTGGACCCAGTGGCTTAAACTCAGCCAGGTGTATGTGCGTGTGTGCCCAAGATCCCATGAGGAGAATGGAGAAGAGATAGTGGCGTGGCCATCCCCCCTGGCGGGGGGTGGGGGTAATTTCTCACTTTCTGTCTCTCTCTTTCTCTCTGTCTTGTCTGGTGAGCACACACACCCTATAGCAAAAACCTCTCTCTCCACACACACACACACACAATTAATAGTACAATTACAAAGTGGAATTTTGCTAGGAAGTTTTAGTGAATGTTACTGAAAAATTATATTCATTTGTGGTCAAAACTCGTTTTCATTAAATATCTTGGTAGTAAAAAGTAACTGCGTTGTACTTCATTTATTTAGTTCAACAGCTGTAACCTTGAATGCCTTAGACACACAGGACCACAAAATGCAAAATTCTGGTTTTTGGGATGGATGGGCTGCTGATAAACATTTTTTATCTTGCTGAAATTAGCAAATCTTGGGTCTACAGTTTCCAGCACTATAGTCACTTGTTGGACCAATTAGAACTAAGTAAAAAGGATAAGACGTATGTCCTTAGGTTTATCTTAGATATACTCATTCCTAAAAGAGTAAGCCATTGATTTGATTTCTATTATACTTAATGGTAATTTCCTTGGAAATTCCTACTAGGATAAAACCAAGGGTTGCTTTCCTAATTCAGTAGGAATGTACAGGTGTTTCTATTACATTGTTTTATTGATTGTTCCTTTTACTCACCGCAGAGGTTGTCCAAACAAGTGTCTTTATTGTGACAGGCGCTGCAAGTAGACCCTTTCTTATATGGCCACGTTGGGTAATTTCCCCTGTAAAGTAAAAGGCTGTCCATTAGAGAGGCTTCTTGTTCTGTTTTTTTGTTTTTTTTTGTTTTTTTTTGGTCCAGTTACAATTTACTATGAATTCCTGATTAAGTCTAGAAGAACAGGGTGTAAGTCCAAAGATTCAGAGGAAAGCAGAAATAGAAGGCAGCGATATTTGCAGAGCTCATTCTGTGTACGTGTGAACTTGAGTTTAACTTTATATTGCCTCATTTATATGATTAATAGAGTGGTTTTCTTTCTCTTTTACAGATAATGAAACTAAGGAGCTAAGTGATTAGTAAATTTTTTTTACTAATCACTGTGTGTGTGTGTGTGTATATGCGCACACACACACACACA